CTAAGAAAGTTGCTTTAAAGGGTTACAACGAAGAGTACTACCTGAGATTATGTTGCTGTTCGGCTCACTACACGGGCCACTACGTGAGTTTAGGATTTAAGCTTTCAGGTTCAGAATTTAAGGTTCAGGGCGGGCTTGGGGCATGACATGGGCTTTCGGCTTAAAGCACTCAGCATTTAGGGCGAGGGTTCAAGGACAAGGCTAACGGCTTTAGGGTGTTGGAGCATAAGGTCTCTACTCGCAGAACCTGCTGCTGAAATAACTATACTTATCCCGTGATCCGTCCAGGCAGCCCTGACATAGAAGCCTGAATACGTACCGATGCTGATACTGTTCCTCCGGGTTCCTCGAAGCACAATAACACAAGATACGCCAAAATCGTACTCTAATCTAATGTCATTGAGGCACTTAGATTGCATTTATATATCTATATATGTATATATTAAGCTGCGAACCCTTCTGACATCATTGAAATGCGGAACTCTCTCTCTCTCTCTCTCTCTCGCGATATGTATATATATATATATATATATATATATATATATTATATATATATGTATGTAGCACCGGCTTGCTCCGCCCGTGGCCTAGGAAAGCCGAAGCCGGGCCCAGTTCCACATGGCTCGCGAGTTTGAAGGTTATTCTTACGGACCTAGGGCTCGTATTCGTGATTTTGCTGTACATTGGAGTTTCCGAAAATAGGGGGCCCTAACCTGAATAGTAGGATCCTTATTATAAGGCCCCCAAAACAAGGCACCCCTAATAACTCCCACATGTGTAGGTACATATAATGTATGCAGGTGTGTGTGTGTGTAAACATCTATCTATCTATCTATCTATCTATCTATTAGAGAGGCTTACACGAAGAATATTTGTGAGCGCCCATGTGGGTGTTATATGGGGAGGCTAGTGGTTAGACGAAAGCCCTCGCTAAACAAAATGGCTGCGCTTCCGCAAAGGGGCAGAAGCAGCTGACCTGGTTTTCGGGTTGAGGGCTTAGGGTTCAGGGCTTTCGGGCTTTAGGGGTTGAAGGGTTTAGGGGTTCAGGGTTTAGGGTTTAGGGATTTAGGGGTTTAGGGGTTTAGGGGTTTAGGGGTTTAAGGGTTTAAGGGTTCAGGGCTTCCATCTTTGAAGAACAAATGTTTTAGAAGTGGACCTGGTCAGTGCAATCATGAGGCGCTCTTGTGAAATTGGTTGCATCGGCTCCGACTTGACTCAAAATGGTGGCGACCTAAGCGCACATCGAAGGCTTCTCCTCAATCTCGAAGACAACAGTTTTCGTGGAGAACATGCCTGGAGGTTCGGGGCAACTGAAATCCACATCCAAGGCGGCGGTGATGGCGATAGTGGTGGTAACGACTATCAAGACAACACGGAGCAGGAAATGCATGTGAAAGGGGACGACGATTATGGATGCCTGAAAATTGTTACGGCCGGGTTTGTCCCGACAATTATTTTCGCAGAGACCTGACTTGGACTGATCCCGTGTACGAGGATCCTAAATAGCCAGAAGTAGAGCTACTGCTGCAAGACGAGAACACACACGACGATTGGAAGAGGCTCTGCTGGCCTTTCTAATTGAAAAATTCTGCTGTATCCAAAACCATTCTGCTTCAAGCCCGTTAAGCCCATAGTTGTACTAATAGTTTGAATGATCCCTTTTGGGTTTGTATGAGAATAAACATCAAGAGTGCCTCCTATTAGTATATACCTCACTGGCCCAAAACCCAAGAGAATAAAAGTTGAAACTTTCAGAATCGACTACCTTAAAGGAACCCCAAAAGTTGAAAAGTTTAGTTTACAGCCAATAAGATACAGTTTAGGAGCTTCCGACTTCTTGTTGGTCTCAGTGCGCAAGGTAAACTAGGATACCCAGTAACCTAAGAAAAAAATGCCTCTCTGTTTGGTATTGGGTAACTTTATAAGGAACCTAGGACTACAAAAAGGGAATAAGGGTACTACTGGGCATCCTAGTAAATGCTCTTCGAAGTTCGCCGATATCTAGACAAATGGCCTGTAAAGACGAAGCCGGTCTCGCATAAACCCTGACCAAAGGTTTAGTGCCCTTCCAAGAGGGATCCTTAATCCCTTAACCCTAAACCCTAGGGTCTAGACTGGGTTGGCCTTTAAACACCCTGAAAAATATTTATATATAGGGCCCCTTATAAGCCCAAATAAGGAAAACACAAACTGTCCCAAAATCCAACCTATTAGATTTTAGGGTCAGCAACACAAAAGAACTGCAACTGAGGCCTCTCGCATCATTACAAGAGCGTCGCCACAAGATGAAGTAAGCCCCAAACCCCAACACCCCATATGGGTGGTTGTCAAAATTAGAGTCCCTTTTTGGCTCCTTATTATAGTACGGCACCTAGTATTTAGGGGACCCAAGAAGGGACTATAATTTTAACAACCGCCCATATTGACCACAACCCGTTGACAATGTCACAGCAACCATGTATGAAACTTACCGAAATATGGTACGTCAACCCCATTACTACACAGCAGCAGGCTGACTGGTTTTGCTTTGGCAAGGTTTGCGGTGGCATCTTTAGAAAGTTTTGGTGTTGTTCCACCGGGACGATGAAACCGAGGTGTGTCCCAAACGGCATGACGTAGGAACCTGATTAAGAAACCCTGGGCCTATAACCCCAAAATAGTATATAGGAATCATATGAGGGACCCCAATAAAGGCCCAAGGTTTCTTACTCAGGTTCCTACATTGCCAAGAGATGCTCTGATCACACTTGAAGGCTCATGGGACTTAGTAAGTAAGGTTATAAGTAGGTTATAATCAGGATAACCCCACTTAGGGGACTTATAACCCCAATTATAACCTACTTACTAAGTCCCATGATCCTCTAAGTAGACCCTAAACCCTAAACCCTATAGATCCCTCTAAGGAACCCTATAGATCCCTTTAAGGAGCCCTTTAAGGAACCTTACTTACTAAGTCCCATGATCCTCTAAGCAGGGCTGCCTTGGCTGGCCTTGCTGCTTTGGCTGAACATACTGGGCTTATTTGCGGGGCTTGGGTTCAAGTAAAGGTGCGCATGCTCTCCTCTCTGAATCCCACAAGTTCGCAAAGGCGTGACATACTTGGAGGTTCATGGGTAGTTATAAGTGGGTCTATAAGTCCCCACATATGGGTCATATATATAGTTACCCTACTTATAACCCCACGTATAACTAGCCATGAACCTCCAAGTAGGGTCTAAAGGGTGATTTTCTGGGGCTTAAAGGATTTAGGCCCAGCCCACGTAGCAACATCAGCGCTCTGGTATGAACGATAGTGCAACTGTCCGTGTCGGTCTAGCAGACGAAGATGTATGTCCCTATAAGACTGACAGGATTTAGGCGGTGACATTCGAAGCTCGACGTTTAAGTTATGACCCTAAACCTTAAAATCTCAGTCCTAAACCCTAACAATCTGTCCTTGCACTGTGACAGGCTTCCTTTTGCAAAGCTAACTGGCAGATTGATGTCCGGCTTTATAACGGGTTTACGGTGGCTTCACCAGGACCATCCCTGCATCCTTAAAAGAGGGTGAGGTTTTGCGTGCCGAGCTTACAAACCCTAAACCCTATACTACATGGGCGGTTGTCAAAATTACGGTCCCCATTTTGGGAACCCTCAATATTAGGTGCCATACTATATTAGGGACCCAAAAAGGGACCATAATTTTGACAACCACCCACATGGCTGAGCTGAGTTTACACTCCGAGTCTTCGGGGGAGACTCTGGGTGTTGAATCCGTCGGGGTATGGTTTGGGGTGTAGGAGTCAAGATTTTTGGGGGTGGCAAGCTATAGCAGGTAGACCCTAAACCTTAAGCTCTGAGCGTGTTGGGGGGAGTCGCGGGTTTTGAGCTAAACCCTAAACCTTTAACCCTCTGGCTTAGGGTCGTAAGGTCCGGATTTTCGGGCTTCAGGGCTGGGGGTCTGTGACTGCCCCTGCGTGCAGAAAGGCCGTTAAAATTAGAAAATTTCATGCTGCCGAAGAAGGCCGCGGCAAGAGGCTATCTCTCAACCCATCGAACTAGGGTCTAAAGGTCTAGGGCTTGCGATTTAAAACCTTACGGTTTACGGCCTGGGGCCCCTATGTGCCGCAGCTGCTTAAAAGGGACACTGGAGCTGTGGCCTTCCAGCAAGAGGCTGTGCGACTTTCACGGAAGACTGCGATGTGTTTAGGAAGCCGAAGTCATGTGTTTAGGAAGCCGAAGTCATCTAAACGCTAATCCCCTATTCCCGTAGCCCGCACCTTTTCCCCCTGAACCCTACAAGGAAACCTCACGACAAACCCCATCCCCGTAGCCCGCACCTTTTAACCCCTGAACCCTACAAGGAAACATTACGACAAAAGCTGAACCCTAAACCCCGAACACCCCCTAAACCCGAAATCCTGAAGCCCGAAAGGCGAAATCGAGTAGAAACCACAAGCCGTCATATGCAACTCTAATAATTATCAGCCCGAGAACGGCTATGGACCCTTGTGGACTCCTCGTAAATCCGCAAACCCTAGAAGCCACTGTGGTGTCGGTCCTCTCAATGCAGCGCAACTCGCAACTCCGAACCGTGCCCCCTCGAAAGGAGACGGGGGGGGGGGAGGGGATCGGGGTTCGGCTTACCTTTGGTTAGTAGGGAATGGAAGAATGGTAGTAGTAATAATAATTGTACCCTATTCCTCCATTACTAACCAAAGGTACGTAAATCCGAAAGATGAGTGGCTTGGCTTTCGGTGGAGGACATCGGGCTCTGAAGTTAGTTGCGATTAGAAGCCCCGAGATAGGATGCGAAACTAAGTTCCTGAGCAGCCCCTGAAAAAGAAGGGTGCCCTTTTTCCTACTATTCCGGTTTAACAAGGGAACCCGAAAAAAAAGGGCAAAAGGGTACTGCTGGGGAACCGAGGATACTGTTCCTGCCTTCAGCCTTCAAAGTTTTACAAATCCTGGAAGATGCCACAGCTCATCGGGTCCGAAACATGATTGTCGGCAGCAATCGGTTACCAGTACCTCGGCTGGCAAAGCGGCATGGCTCTCGTAGGCTTTCTGAACACTGTAATCCTGGACCTTGCAGCTCAAAACCTATGCCTTACTTACATTCTAAACATACATCACATCATACACGTATACCTATACATGCATGCATACATCTGTAGAGTGTCCGACTAGCCAGCCTTGAAACAAACATGAAGCCCCTAGCAGTGTTGCGGATAAAATAGGCCAGTGTGCCACGTTTTGGGGCTTTGGGGCTTGGGATACTTTTGCTCGTATCAAGCGGAAACAACATTCATTGGGAAGTGTCGAGTAGTAACAGAAGGAGGCATTCAATGCCACTGAGACCCTTGTTGTAGCCCTGCCGAGGCCATGCAGACATCCTAAGCCCGTGGCTCAGTAAGATTCCATACCTATATGAGCGTAGGGCCCTTAATCATTCGACTACGGCTACGGTTTGGTGTACATGAAAGCATAATGTAACAAGAGACCCGAAGGAATACTACCGCTACCTGCAAGAATTTGCAGAAAGCATCCATATACTCGACAAGCCCAAATACTAGACCCTTAACAGAACACTTCGAACCCTGAACCCTGCACTAAGACCAAAACACCGGACCTAGATCCTGACCCCAAACCATCAAGCCCCCTTAAGCCCCCTTTAAAGCCCCTTTGAAGGGTCCGTTCAAAGCCCCCCTTTGCTGGCCCCCGTAAAGCCCCTTCAAAGTCCCCCTTAAAGCCCCCCCTTAAGTCCCCTCGAGGACGTGGCTTAGGGCCGACCATGAGGTAGTGCCTGGGATCTGCGCGACCCTACTGACTAGGTCCAGGCCCAGCACAGCAGTGTAATTTACGTACTGCCCCCATACAGTAAGAGTCTATAATAGGGCTACTATTAAGGTCCTGATATATCTATATTATGAATATTTTTCAACTATGACTGAGTGGGGTCCGTACCCAAGGTGTAATCAGGGCTTAAGTTTGCGACAACTAGCGAAACGCTACGACCGCCAAACCAGAAAGCCATTTAATATAGGCGCCTTAATTAAAATCGGGTTTAGGGGTATACTGTGCTATAATACAGTAACATAAAAATGAGGAACCCCAGAATAGTATATGTAACTATTTTACGCCCCTATATTAAGCGACACCCTGAACCCAACAAGCCCCAGGTCACTTGAAACAGGGGTCGGAACAGCCAATAGCGATAGCCCCTTTCAGCTCCACGTAACTTTACGATTTTCAGCTATGCCCCAAACCCCATTTAGTTCTTGAGGTGCCCATATCTTGCGACGTCAAGCTCGCGCGAAGTGTTGGGTTTTAGGCTTCATGCCAGGACTACACTGGGAACCCTGTTGGTTTAGGCATTTGGGTTGACAGTCAGCGTTTCGGGCTTGGAGGATTCTGGGGCCGGGGCTTTAGGTTTAGAGGTGTTGGGCTTGAGGTCCCTAGACCAAGCTGGCTCTGCAGTGTTGGGAAGGACAGAGTTGCCTGGCCTCGTGGGCATGACCTACCTTACTTGATTGGGTTTAGGGTTATAGGGTTTACAGTTTAGAGTTTAGGGGCGTTGTCACTAACTAAACTAAGCAGGCCGTTTCTAGGGTCTCTACGTTCTATAACCGCCTTATCCTTAGCTGCATCCCTAAACCTTAAACCTTCATGCAACCCTCTGGTAAATCCCTTGACCCTTTGAGTAGAGCCCTCCCGATAAACCCTGAAATCTAAAATCCTGTAGAACCCTTGTGATAACCCGATCCTCAACGCCCTTCTGGAACCCACTGTACCCTAAATCCAAAGCCCCGAATATAGCCTTCACTAGAATAACTAGAATATGGTTTTGGTGCCCTTTATACAATAATTCTGATAAGGAACCCCCAAAACCCTGTTAAAATTATTATGTCCCATATATTGACACACTAAAGTCCTAAACCTGGTAAGACCTAAAACCTAAACAGGGAACCCGCTATGCCCTAAACCCAAAGCCCCTAACACCCTAAAGTCCTACACTGGCAACCCCCAACCCGGGGCTGCCTAAACCCTAAACCCAAAGCCCCTAACACGCTAAAGTCCTGAACCTGGCAACCCCAAACCCTAAACCCCAACCCCTAAACCGCGCAAACCCTAAACCATGAACCCTAACACCCTAAACCCCAAACCCTAAACCGTGCAAACCCTAAACAGGGCTTCTGGGCTTTCTAGGGTTCACAAATCTCGAGGCCACGGCTGCCACGAGGATGCCCTGATCCGATGGGAAGGAGGCGCTTGGGTATCTAAGTTTGGTGATTACTTAGAGGATCTCTTTGTGTGTGGTATAGGGTTTATGGGGTTTTAGGATTCATAGGGTTCAGGGCCATTAGGGTCTACAGGGTATGGGGTTGAGGGCATGGACGGAGGTGCATCGCAGGACGTAGTAAGGTTCCTTAAGGGGCTTCTTAAAGGGATCTATCGGCTCCCTTACAGGGGTCTATAGGGTTTAGGGTCTACTTAGAGGATCATTGACGTAGGAAGTAGGTTATAGTTGGGGTTATAAGTCCCCTAAGTGGGGTTATCCTAATTATAAACTACTTATTTTGACCTTACTTACTAAGTCCCATGAGCCTTCAAGTGGTGCCTATGAGTCTATGACTTAGGTTCAGCCGAAACCCTATACACCCTGAGCCGGCAAACCCTAAACCAGAGGATTCAAGGTTAATGCGTCGAGTGCGAGGATTTACGAGCTGAATGCGGCTCACGATTCAAGGTTAACGCGTCCAATGCAGGGTCTACGAGCTGAATGCGGCTCGGGTTTCGACGCTGCTGCTTGAACCGACTGGTCACGGAGCATGACCAACACATGCTAGTACAGCTGCTTTCGCTGATCTTGCCATGAAGACATCGCATGCTGCCGCGGTTTGCTTCGCGACCGGCTGCCTACTTTTACGGCCTTCCACCTAAACCTAAACGCTATAGACCCTGAGCCCGACTAAACCCTAAACTCTATTGAACCCTAAACCCCATACCAAAAAGCCGTGTCCAAATGTTCTTTGCTATCCTCGCTGAGCTTCGACGGATTGCTTGCAACCACTACACAGTGATCGTAATGAAAGGCGCTCTGTGTATTGTACGGGCCTTGATAAGATCCCGAAGGCTATCTCAATCTGGTACGCCTATGTGTCTATGTCATGTGGGTCCGAATCCGACGTTCCCAAAGTATCAAATTTCAGCAGCACAGGATAGGGCTCTTTCCTTGCTCGCAGAAATGTTTCTTTCAACCCATCTATGAGCAGTTCGTGCTCCAAGAACATCTGGAGAAACTGAAGATCCTCTGCTGAAGAACTGCTCTCGTAATCGGACCCTGCACACCCAAAACAGCATACCCTTATAGCCACACGGATAGCAGTAAACCATATAGTAACCCAACAGTTTCTCTCATAGCACCGCCTAAAGTGACCCGCACAGGATTGCCCAGACCGATGCTGTTTCGCCTGATCCAAGTGGACTCCAAGACCATCAGTCCAAGAGGTGCGAAGATGGTTCCGATGACCTGGGGGAAGGAGGGTTTGGGGCGTGGGGCTTGAGCGCTACGTGACAGTTCTTCTCACTACGGCCAACATCATCATCGCCATCTTGACCATCGTCGTCGCGCTCGGCACGAGCATCGCCGCCACCGCCGTCACCCCCACCGTAACGAACACGAACTCTGCACCTGCACCCGACCCGGGCCCACAAGCAGCCTGAGCGATGCCCTAGAACCCAGCTACCGGCCAATACCCGGAGTCCTGGGATTTTTTGCTTGGGAGCCATTCGGGCACAAGGGGCCATGCCTCTGTCAAGTCATGATCCGACAACTGGAGGACTGTGGAACATAACCGGTCGAAAAGGCTGCTCTTTTCGCAGGTTTGGGCGACTTGTATGGGGAGTCAGGGGACGACGGCCGGGCTCCGCGTTGACTACCAGAGCCTGCCACAGCCTTTTTACGAAATACCCCGAATACTCCAACCAACCCAGCAACCCCCCACTTGAACCTTAGGTTTAAGGGCTCTTCCCCGATGCCTGAAGCCCCGCCCCAAACCCCTGAGCCACGGACAACGACTGCAGCGTTCTTCATGCCGGTGAAGACGCCCTGCCAGCAGGGGTGTAAACTGGCACTGGTGTTGTTTTACAAAGCTCAGTCTGCTTGAATAGCTAAGGTCCCAGTCCAAGGATCCCGAAAATCTCAACCAGATCTGTGAAGCCCTAAATCCAGAAACCTACATGAAACCCAGACCCCAAAGTACTCGACGATTAATCCCCCGCCGAAAGTCAAACCTCGAAACTCTAAGCAAGCAAACCCAGAACCCCGAACCCAACACCAAAACTCCAACCTGAAACTCCAAACCCCACCTGAAACAAAAATTGTGGCAGACTTCGACGAAGATCACACTCTCCGGATAGCGATTTCGACTTGAAGCCCGGGAGCCTAAAGAACAGATCACCAGTCATATGATGATAGTAATAACTACGGCAATTCTAGTATACACAAAGTAGTAATCATAATTTAATGATACATGCCTGGTCGACCTGTGCAAACAAATTTTACGTAAGAGCGCGATCTGTGTACATCTGCGTGCGTTATCTAGTTCAACGGATTCTGGTGACAACTTCCGTTCCCGGGCAACACCAGACAACCACGGTCACTTGTTAGCATCAGCGGTCTACAGTACACCTTCAGTCACCGGAAAAAGCCGAGTCTTCAAAGGCACACAAGAAGCATTGGGACTTGGACCCTTAGCAACTCGAAGTTGCACGTCCCAGCTATGTGCTTCACCAAAGCAAAACCGATAATCAATCGTACCCCATCTTTAACTATAGGGCAAGCTGCAGTAGGTCTTGCTTCGTGTTTGTGCATCTCTCCCCTCTTAATCCTCTTAGCACATCACTCAGGATCGGAGGACTTCGTCAGTGGGTTCTCACCGAGCTCCGCCGTTGGATTGCACTAAGTAGGGTGCTTATCACCACAAGCATAAGTGCCATATCAGATTCTGAAGACCCTTACGTACGAAGCCGAGGCTTGGATACCCTGACGCCCTAAACCCGCGAAAGCAACGGACCCTGTGAGACTCACCAGCCTGGATATGTAGGATGATGAGGAGCAGGGCGGCTGCTGTGACGAACCTCGACAATCCATGCCCCAGTGCTGGGCTCTGTGTAGAGGGTGTAAGAAGGAGTTCACGAATTCGGCGGTTCAGAGTTTAGGGTTAGTTTAGGGTTTAAGGTTCAAGCTTAAGTTTATGGCTCCAGGTATAGCTGGCCGTTGAGGCTGTGGGTCTTGGGCATGAGTCGAGGGTGTAAGCTCGGGCGTATGGCCTTCATACGGCTGAGACTTGACGGGCTCAGTCTGACCGAGGAAGCGCAACGGCAAGGTCAAAAGCAGCGGATACTGAAGCGATCATCTGCAGACCTCGTATGCTGTATGCCCTACCAAAGACCCCACTCAAGCAGACAAGCCGGCTGCGCTTAGGGCTTAGGGTTACCTGAACCGACAAACGCCTATACTTTAGGGCTCCTACATCATATTTAATTCTTGAACACCCGATGGCTTTTGCTCGTTGAAGGCAGGCTGAAGGCATTTAAGGTTCAGATTTCGGCGGCCTTGCTTTTAAAGTCGGTGCTTGAGGTTTGGGGTCTGGGATGGTCTGGGTTGAATGGGCTTCGGATTGCCGTTGTTCGTGTTGTTCCGGGGACATGACCTAGTCCTCAATAGCTGCATAGATCTAGCCCTCTGTCACAGACACAGCTAGACGTGGAAAAAATCAAGGGTTTGGATTGGATAGAAAGGTCCAAAGAAAATGGGTCGCCCGGGGTTCCGATAGGTTTTCCCAACACCTATACCTAAACCTGTTGGTTCAAAACAACGAGGCTGGGCAGAGGATTCCTCGAGTGTCAAGGTTTAAGGCTTGAAGGCTTAAGTGTAGGGGTATAGGCTTAGGTTTACAGGTTGAGAAGTGTAGGGCTTCAGCTTAAGTCAGGGGTTGAGATCTGAAGCTTTGCGGCTTCGGGCTCTTGCAGGCGTACTGTCTTAGACTTAATTCAAGTTCAGCTTGTTTCCTGAAGCCCGACACCCGAAATCCTAACCTCTAAACCCTAAACTCCAAACCCTGAACCCGAAAATCCAGCCAACCGATGCAAACAGCGACCACCGAAGACTTGTCCCAACCGTCCCAGGAGATCCAGCAAAGGCGAATCCGAACTTCTTAGTAACCCGAAGAGGTTCTTGGGTTCGGTTCCCAAGTACCTAATGGCTGGGTGTTCGGGTTTAGGACAAAAGGTATGGTTTAGGGTTTAGCGTCCCAAGTATCTAGAGAGGTAGCATATATAGTGTTTGAAGACGTACATGATTACAAAGTGCTTGGACGCTGACAGTTAGGTGTTGCGGTTATGCACCTCTGGGCTAGGACCCAGGCAGCTCAATGATGCGAACATCAGCGACCCACCACCACCTGGAGGGCGTTCTAAAGGTCCGACGGCGACACCCTTGAAACGAAGGAGATCTGAACCCAAACCGAAGCTACTGAACCTAGCTTGTGGCAGTTTCGGACATGCCAAAAATTGAAAGCCTGCTGCACTATTTGGAGTACTTGCATGTTGGGTTTGGTGTGCGAATATATAATTATATATGTATGTGTATATATATATAGAGAGAGAGAGAGAGAGTGATAACACACATGTGTTATATATGCCAATGTAGGATTTGTAATGAACGTTGGAGCATGCGTATGCCACAGTATATGAAGAATTACTTTGAAGATGCTGGTAACAAAATCCCCGGCATCTGTGGGAAAACTCATCCATAGATACACAGTGGTCATGGCAACTAACACAACCACTACTACTACTACTACTACTACTACTACTACTACTACTACTACTACTACTACTACTACTACTACTCCTACTACTACTTCTAACTACTTCTACTTCTACTTCTACTTCTACTTCTACTTCTACTACTACTACTACTACTACTACTACTACTACTACTACTACTACTACTGCTACTACAACTACAACTACACCTAATACAACAACTACTACTAATACTGCTACTACTACTGCTACTACTACTACTACTACTACTACTACTACTACCACTACAACTACCACTCCTGCTACTACTACTACTACTACTACTACTACTACTACTACTACTACTACTACTACTACTACTACTACTACTACTACTACTACTACTGCTACCACTACTAGCACTAGCACTAGCACTAGCACTAGCACTAGCACTAGCACTAGCACTAGCACTAGCACTAGCACGACCACCACCACCACCAGTACCACTGCCACTGCCACTGCCACTGCCACTGCCACTGCCACTGGCACTGCCACTGCCACTGCCACTGGCACTGGCACTGGCACTGGCACTGGCACTGCCACTCCACTACCACTACCACTACTACCACTACTACCACTACTACCACTACTACCACTACTACCACTACTACCACTACTACCACCACTACCACTACTACCACTACTACCACTACTACCACTACTACCACTACTAGGTTGCCCTGCAGGGATGCTGGTTGGCACACCTCTGTGTGGGCTGACGGGTTTGGGCTCTTGGGCTCAGAGGTTCGGACTTCGCAATTTAAGCCGCCAGGCTTGGGATCTGTGGGGATCCTTCAGCTTTGCCCAAGTGCTGCACTCATCGTTGTAGACGGAGCAGACGGTTTTCCACCAACCCTGGCCGGTCTCGCAATGAAGGCAAACACCCCCAACAAATGGTCGTGACAACAAACCCAGCAATGATGATATAGAATAACTGTCATAACAGCAATGGTACTCAGGTCAATTCCATTAAACTCCTGGAGTTATCTGAGGGCATTGCGTATACATCGGATAAATCCAAGGACTCAAACAGTCTCCAAAAATCTAGCGGCCTTATCTCAACGACTAAAAACTTCTTGTGGAGGTGGGGCATGCAGGTTACTCATAGCCCTATGTTGAAACTGTACGGAGATAATACTACGACGGGCTACTTTCTCCAAGCATCGGGAAGGATCTCCAACTATAGTCTGATTTTTTAGCCCACAAAGAAGGGCCTTAAGAATTAAACTCGTGTTCGCTGCAAGTTCGCTGCATCGTATACCTCATAGTCTGACTCTGATTTTCGACAGCGAGTCAATAATGCCAGCCATTCAGACCCTGACTCTTGAACTGCTGACTGCCTAGACCCGATGGCGTGAAACTCCCAAAGCCACGAACTTGAGTCGTCCGACCCCCCGTCTTCAAACGTTCAAAACCAAGATTTGCTACATCATGACCCCTGAAAAAACCAGAAATTGAAAAGCGTTGGAGTCTGGTGTTTCAGGCTTATGGTTTAAGGACTACACAAGCCCCAAAATCTGATGCCCCATCCCTTTGTTACACCCTGCAGCCTGAACACCCGCAAAACCCGCTCTGCGCCCTAACTCCACGGGTCCACGAAAACATAATGTGTATGGCAATAGGGACCTGCAGACCATAACAGTTAGAGACTTCGACACTATGCTCAAAGGGGTCCAAAAGACACAATAAACAAGCACTTGGCTCTCGGATCTCCGTAATGTAGGTTGGTCATACCTGTGCGACTACAGATGCCATTACTTGGGCCCTTGGGGCTAAGTCCCACAGCAAAGCCATGGCAGTTGAGCTGGATCGTCCAAACGCTTGAACATGTCCAGTGGGGTCAGCGAATGCAGAAGCCTCGGCACAAACATCTTCAGAGCAAACATAGCATCTTGACTTTATATACTATATACTATATACCCCATTGCCCTAAGCCTCAGACAGATACAGGGTGCTAGGGCTTCGGGTATCGGCCTTGGCGTTCAGGGACTAGATCTTTCGGTTGAAGAGTTCCTTGCTCAGGACCGATCGGGCTTGGGGCTAGGGTTGAAGGGAGCAAGGCGGCCCCCCGCGAAGACCATATGGCAGCTGCGGTCTCATTGATAGATGGCAGCTTCACAAAATTCAGGGACCCGCACGAAAACCTAGGACCCTGAATGTAAGGGCCCCTTGAAAGAAGCCCTGGTATCGCTATTAGCAACAGGTGCTTTGGTTGCTTGTGGGTATTTTATGCCATCCGTGAACAGTGTGGTTGTTGAAGCCTAAAATTTTCTGTGGAACCGTTGCGAAAAAACCAACAGTATCCCATAACATGCTCATATATGCCACCACATGGAAAGAAACACACTACACTTTTCCTTCGCACGCCGATCCCTATCTTTGATCCTCTGGGCTCCGGAGAACCCTTACAATAAGACATGTTCAGTCTTCATGAAATACAAGCTCGAAAACCAAATGGGTTAGCAGGGCACTACTGGGCGACCAACTTACCAACAAGCACGACAGGGAGTGGGCGCCAAACCCCAAACCCGAAGTCTCAGTAGGTCTTAAGCAGGTCAAAGCGAACCTACAATTACCAAAAGAAGCCAGGAGTTCAAACCACTTTTGTAGCAAATCCCATGAAAGTACCATACAGGCTATATATATATATATAAACATACCTAAAGCCCTGAACCGAACTGCAAGCAAAGAACCCTCTCTTAACCCTGCAGGCCCTGAGCCCGGATTCTTGGGCCCCTCACATCAGCCCAAGCAGACCGGGTATCCAGAGCGGCCGGAATCGCTTTTGCTGCAGCAGAGGCTTTGATTATGGTTAAGAGTTGGAGTTGTTGTGAGGCAAACGATCTGAGCTCAGTATAAAGGTTACGGCGACGGCTCTGCAGAGGATTGCTTCTTGAGTTTCATGGGCTTGACAAAAGGAGCTACTGCGACTTGGGCCTGGGGTTGAGTGGGGCTCTAGGGCTTCAGGGTTTGAGGTTTGGGGCATTAGGGTTGAGCTGTATACCTTCAGGACTCAGGTTGCGGGTAACCTCCAGTGGATGGGTTGAAACAGTTCGGATATTGAGGGTCTGTCGCGGCTTCACCACCAAAGCCTGTTTACGGTTGACCGGCACCAGATTGTTCCCAGAACCTCCGAGTCAATCAATCGAGCAAAGTTCCTCAAATAACAGAGGGATCCCCAGCATGATTGAGGATACGTCCCTTGATCAAGCTGTGGATTTGGGATTCTCGGTACTGTCGGATGCTTAAGATAGGCTCCGAGTAGAGCCTGCACAATTTCACAGGCTGCTTCCTCCAGCACGACTGCGGTCGCGTGACCCGACTCTCCGTTGTCTTGTAGTACCAGGGTTTACAGCTTTACAGCCGGCTCTGCAGGGGCTCGCTTCCTGGTGGTGTTCAAAGTCTCCTCAGGTTTCATGGGAGCTCTTTCCGTGAAAAGGCTCTTGTACGCCTGGCTCCCGCGGTGCTTCGCGCGCGAGGTGGCTCAGGTATTCTCCTGCCCCACATGCGCAGAGCAGCCGCGGACCGTGCAGCCGGGGCGGAGAAGTTCACTGCGTTCCAATGAGAGCTTTGCAAGTGCAGCGGCAGGTTAAAGTGTTGGGCTTCGAGAAGAACGGCCGCAGAGGTGTACATCAGGATCTTCGGATATGGGGTGTTGTAACGGTGTTGTAAGTGGATAGAGAAATGAGGGTTTAGGAGATGTGCCCAATCCCGCGTCTTTTGCGGTGCAGCTGCAGATTTAGCGTGGCTTAGGCTCAGAACCCACGCCCCAGATCCTAAACCCTAAACTCTAAACCCACGCCCCGGATCCTGCACACTCATATAGATCAGGGCTTGGGCTTCACATGAAACAGTGCCCGGAACTTTCCAGGGGATGCCGTCAGGGGCGCTTTGTCCTGAGACTTATTGAGGGTTCTATCATGGTGCTATCTTGCAGCGGTGATCCTGAAAGGAAACAGAAAAAACGGTTTAGAGCTTGTTTCCAACCCCAACTATTGCGAAAAGGTACGTGGCTGCTACAAGTGCTACGGCTGATGGACAACATCCTACATCATCCATGGTGAGGAACACACAACAGTTTTCAGGGGTTCAGGTGAAGGTAGCCTCGGATTTTTTGTCCGCCAGCAATAGTTTCAGAACGTCCGGGCCTCCCAACGTAAGCACCACTAAACCTACTTGTCTGGTATCATGGGGAGCTAAAAGTTAAACCTTTTGGTTATATGTACCGATAATATAGGGCCTATACTACCCATAAAAGGTTAAAGGTTACCTACTCTACTACTAGGTAAAAGACCATAGGACGGCTAGGATCCTGCTTCCATACCGCCCCCCTACTGTAAGTCCAAGGGCAAAAGGAGGGACCCACCCTTAATAAGGACCCCTAGGTATATATCCGTAATATAGCTATATACCCATTATATCGCCCCATTGTAGGGTAGGGGTCCCCATTAAGGGTCCCTCCTTTTCCCCTTTGAGTAAGATCGCTCCCCAGTCTCGGAGCGAAGTGCTCTTTACTCGAAGGCTCATGGGACGTAGTAAGTAAGGTAGTAAGTAGTTAGGATAACCCCACTTAGGAGACTTATAACCCGAAGAATAACTTACTTCATAGGTCCCATGATCCTCTAAGTAATCAAGGAAGTAAGCCTCAAACTACATCGGGATCCTTGCTTTGAAACTTGAAGAAACTCCACTTCCATGTGGGTGGTTGTCAAAATTATGGTCCCCTTTTGAGTCCCTATTTTAATACGGCAGCTCATATTTAGGGTACCCAAAAAGGGACCATAATTCATATAATTTTGACAACCACCCATGTGTAACACCTTAATCCATAACCCCGAACTATGTTTCGCTATCTGAGCGTCCCCCCGAGTATCTGGCTGTAAAGTGCCGCCACATGCGAGTCCAGTGGTAGCTGTAGAAGTAGAGGCAAGCCCTCAGAAGACATTGTTTAGGGTTTCGGGCTTAGGGATTAAGAAATTCTGGGCCTATAACCCCCGAAATAGTGGGATTCATATAAGGAACCCTGATAAAGGCCCAAGGTTTCTTAATCAGGTTACTACATTAGACCATGAAGCCTTGACATTTTAGGGCACGGGACTCTAAACCAGGAAGCCTCTGTTGGATTTAGGACGGTTTAGGGCACGGGGTTTGGAGTCAGGTTGAGGGTCTAGGGTTTGCTGAACCCTCAACACCCTCACATGGGAAGTACCGTCTTAGGGCCATGCTTCTGAAGTTCATCGTTTAGGGCCTCGCTACCAGGGACACATTGCACCCGAATTTGGGGCCTTCAGCCCTGGTTTAGGGCTTTTCGGGTATGGGGTTTAGGATTTAGGGTTTAGGGTCTATCGGGTATATAGGGTTTGGGGTTCATCGCAAGCGCAACAAAGGTACCAGAAAAGGTCCGACATCCAAGTTCTATCCATGGTTCAGAAACCACAAAACACCTGAAGCCCGGAACACTAACTCAAAATGCCGAACCTCTAAACCTTCATTCCGAAAGCCCTAAAACCAAAGAGCAGCCTATCCTCAAAAGTCCGCCGAGCTCGTCTGAGAGCTCAGGGATTTGAGGTTACGTGCTTTGTAATTCATGAACCCCGGAAAGGGTTTAGGGTTTAAAGTTTGGGGCATAGAGTTTTTTGTTCAAGCGTAGTCTAGAGGTTCAGGGTTTATCGTCTAAGGTGTATGTAGGTTGTTGAACCGCAGAAAGTTGGAACACGCAATGAGCATGATTAGCGCTGGGATTCCCTATATCTTACCTCTTAATGGCATGAGGATACTCATGCTCCAACTTGCTGGCTTCTACATTAAACGGTTGCGTAGGAGTTTTCCATGAGGATTTCGATGGGCTCTGCAGGGCTCTGGGCCAGAGCAAGGATTCGACTCAAAATCTCTGAGGGCGATGGAGTGGCCTCTTCAACCCTAAGCGATAATCCCGAAACTCAAGGGCTCTCCAGGACCCCCCAAGTACCCTTAAAAGTGCTGTAATATTTCTCCTAAACAGAAGTAACTAGCTACAATCAAGGGTAGTTGGGGAGTTATGCTGAAACCTAAACTCGGAAAAGGATCCCTGATTCCCAAGAGGTTTATCTCCTCCAAACTTGCCGCCCAATGGACCCAGCGAAAACGATGTTCCCGAAGGCCAGAATGTCGAAGGCAAGCTCGGGGAACTGGCGATGGGCAAGCCTACTACCATAAGGACCTTTATGGTGGTAGGGGGAGGGGGGGTAGGGGGCCTTTATGCCCATAATAAGGACCTACTTAGGCCTGTTTAAGGAAGCAGAGTCCCCTGCCCCCCGTATAAATGTAACTAGAGTAAAGAACCCGAAAAAAGTATCGATAATCACTTAGATAGACCCCATACTAGACTCTACACCCAGTACCAAGAAGAGGTTCTGAAAGGATGAAAGGTCCCATAGGGGCTTCACACGGGGCCTAAGGGTCGAGGGTTAGGTCTCACGGTCTCACGGGTCAGGTTGTAATGAAGGGCCCTTAATAGGGTTTTGGTTTTGGGACCCATGATACTATCCTTAAAATAAGGAACCCGCAAAATGACATGGGTAATTATGAAAGTCCATGTATTACACCCTGAAGCCAACCGTGCTTCTGTCAGATGCCTGAACACATCACAGGGGATGTAAGCGATCCTGATCTCCTAAGTCCCAAGACGCTAGCCCCAGACCCTGAATCGGTGAATCCCCCAAACCCTACGCGAACCCTCAATAACCTACCTTGTAGGGGTTGCCTTATTATGACTTCCCTGCAAAGACTCCTTTAAAGACGTAGGTTTCTCAGGTGCAGGTAGGCCCTATAGACCCCGAACCTGCGCCCTGACTCCACGTACTTTGGGACGTCTTCGTTTTGCACTCCACCAATACCCTTCGAAACCTACTGTTGAAAAACCATTCGGCTTTGGGCCAGGGTTTATGAGGTTTAAGTCCTGCGCTTAGGTCCCCGGCGTTGAGGCATGGGGAGGGACCTAAGCCCTAAACCTGAACCCGACCTTGTCCTGGTAGAACACGGAAAATAACGATGCCAAGGACATCACGGCCCAGCCTCATGCTGCAGGTGGAGTTGAGGGAGAAAGCAGGAAACGACTTCACAAAGAGGCTATTCATGTGGGCTGAAGGATGTATTTAAGGTCCCTGTTTGGGCATTTTAGCCTCTTCAACCATAGAAACGACTTCACAAAGAGGTCGTTTAGGGTTTAGGGGTGTATTGAAGGTTCATCTTTAGGGACTTTAGGGTTACGGGAGCTTCTTTAGCAATAGAAGACCGGTTTCAGGGTTTAGGGTTTAGGGTTCAGAGTTCAGGGTTTAGGGTTTAGAGTTCAGGGTTTAGGGTTTAGGGGAGTTCTAGACCCTCAATCTTAAGCCCTAAACCGATCCTCCGGGTGGGGGGCTTCGTTGAAAGACCCCCTGGGATGATCCCAACCTGCAGCTCTACGCCCGAAGCCCTAACAACAGACGGGACTCTATCTTTTTGACTGATATGATAATGGAAATATGGATCAATTTACTTAAGTTATTATGATATGATAATGGGAATATGGACTTTACTGGAAATATTACGTAAGTAGTTCTTGTTAACTTTGAGGCTGCATGGGGTTCCAAACCTTCTACAGGAACCAAAACATGGAACCCTCCCTCCCCGCCCACCCGGCCCAGAATGATTCTGCCATCTCTTGGCGCAGAGAGGCGTGGAACGTTCGATGCCCCAAAATCCAAACCACGAACCCTGAACCCTTGGCCCCAAACCCAACCTAAACCCCAAGCCCCAAAGCCATAGACCCTAAACCCAAAGCCCTGAGCCCTAAATCCCAAGCCCTAGGCCGCAAATCAGAACCCAGAGCTGAGCTGTGGGCCACAAGAGGCATAGAAGGTCACAGCGTAATGATTCTCCAGCTGCTCCGTGTCCCTGGGCTTAGGGTTGGCTTCAGGTTTAGAGTTCAACATTTAAGGTTTAGCACCTTAGCACGAGAAGTTTACTTATAGTGGCCTGAATAATTCGTGACAGTGTCTCTTATAGCCCCTATAAGACTTATACTAAATATGATTAATAATGACAATAATAATAATATAACAATAATGATATAACAATAATAATATCACAATAATAATAATAACAATAATAACGCACCCCAAAACCCGCAATTGCTAGCTTGGAGGCCAGGCTGACCGGTGGCCTACCGGAGCCCTACTGAGTTGTCCTTTCAAGCCTTTTCTAAATTATGTTTACTATTATGGTTCTCTACAGAATATAGTAGGGGAAATCAAAAAAGATGCCAAAGGACACCCTGCCTACAATTCAGTGTGTTGTTTTGTGAGTAGCACAGTTTACGCTCTCCAGAATGTGGTTTGTGATGGAGCCCCCGGCTGATACGCTAGGACACACAACAGCAAAGCCGCGGATCCAAGAGCAGTAACGCGTTGTTGCTCGTGGTTCAGGTTTAATGCTGCTGGCCTAAAACCCTGTACATCTTTCACAGTAAAGCCGAAACCCTTGGGAACGTGCAGCCATTTGCCCCGAGCACTTCATTGTTTAATTTCTCCGGCTACAATTGAACCACTGAAGCCCAAGTTAAGGTACATATATCTGCTATCCAGATAACCGAGCTTGAAATACTGAATTTTCAAGCCCCCCGAAATACTGAATTCTCAAGGCCCCCAAAAATTAAAACGCAAACCTGAAGCCATAAATCCTAAACCCCAAAACCCTGGAGGCTTCTACGCCATGCAGGCCCTCGACTCTCCGAGCCCCACACCCATCTTGTTCGTGACAGATTTAGGGTTCGGCAAGTAGGCTTTGGGATTCCGTTATAGTCCGGTACTTGGAGGTCATGGGTAGTTATAAGTGGGGTTATAAGTACCTACTTGTAGCCCCACTTATAACTAGCCATGAACCTCCAAGTAGGGTAGATTCAAAACCAGACCCCTCATAGATCCCTTATAGAACCCTCAAAAAGAGCCCGATAGCCACCCTCAAGGTCCGCTTCGGAACCCCCAGAGATATCCGGGCCTGAAGCAAAAGTAGATCCACGGCAGGTAGACTAAAGCAGTGAGCCACACCTGCCCAACTGAGTTCTTTCCATTGATCTGGGGCAGTCGTCGCCGTTTCGATACCTGTGTTCCTTACGATTAATAGCAATACCGCTGTTGTTTTCTTCTAGTATCGCGTTGTATTCCGCCCGTTACTAGGTACTGCGACCGCTGTCCGGCTTCTGCCGCAACTCTGGCTTCTGGCCTGCAGGCTTGAACCTTTCGGGATTTGGTTCAAAGCCCATGGCTTTTCAAGGGGGTAGCAGAGGGTTTGGGTCCAGGGTTGAGGATTATACAGATTCTGCAAAGGTGTTCTTATGCTTTGTGTCTGTGTATGCCTTAGGGTGTGGTGACCAAAAAATGTGCAATTCCTTACTTCTTTGCAAATGGCAGCATAGTGTCTTCTTGACCCGTGACCCTAAACCTAGTTCAACCGCGCCTGTATACTTCAAGGATTAATTAAGGCTTAAGGATTCGGCGAGGTTCAGGGATTTTGTGCTTTAAGGCACGGCTACTCGGAATGGCTGTCGGTAGCCAATTATTGGGATCTTCTGCAATCAGCATTGGGAAAATGAGAACTCCGACTTCGGAAAATGAGCCATCTGAATTCCCGGCCTATCAAAGCGTGCTCCCCAGGGTTTAGGGCCTTCTCTGCCCTGGGTTTAGGGTTTGGGCCCACTATAGGGCCTTGTACTAAGCAGATAGGCCACAGACATGAGCGCGAGCCTCAAGCTCCGTGGGCGCCTGGTGTGCCTGAGATTAGCCGATGAGTCGTTTGCTTGCGGTTTGGGGCTCGGGGTCGTATCTGAGATCGTGTTTCGGGCCTGGAGCAACAGCAGACATTGACAGATTGCAAGGCGGCTACACTCAAACGCGAACCGATAAGCCCTGACACGGACGAACATCTTCAAACGAGCGTAAGAAACTACCTGAAGCCCGGTGTCTGTTCCTCCAATCGGCCCCAGCGCAAGGTCGCGGTTGGTAACTTAAGGTATCAACAACCCAAAACCAAAACGCTTGTATCTGCATGCAGCTAGCTGGCCACTGCCCATGAAGCTGCAAGCTGCGGGCCCCATGTGCGATCTACATTATGGCATTATGGGAGACGCTGAGGTTTCGGGCGCCACCCCGTTCCAGGGACCTTGGGTGTCGGGGTGAGTAGACGGCAGAGCTAAGGAAGGCAGCTGGAACCAAAGGGTGGACCGTCCCCCGAAATTGCTGAGAATGCTCCGGTGACCGAGTGCAAGACTGTTTCAATGTCGGATTAGACCGCGAGCCCTGAACCTTCATACACCAAAATCCCAAAACACCAAAACCCTCAACCCCAAACTCCAAAATCCAAAACCCCCCAAAGCCCTAAACCCAACAACCCTTTGAGCATCCAAAGCCGGGGCTTTCGGGAATTAGATTTAGGGGTGTAGGCTTGAGGGTCTTAGGCTATCGTTTCAGGTATAGGGGCCTCGGGGTTAAAGCACCCCAAAACCAAAAAATGATGCAGGGACCTTAATAGCAAGAACGAGGTTTTGGGCTCCGTTATGGTATAAGGACAGCAAGAAACCCTAAGGCACAATGTTGGAAACTTGGGCCCTTCTCAACTGAGGCCGCCAACCAGGATTCGACTGATCTGAGCCAGGAAGAGCGTCACCGCCGAGACGGTAAGCACACCTCTGAGTGGCTTTGGTAAACCCTAAACCCTAAACCCTGAATCTTTGGGGTCTATAGGGTTTAGGGAGCGGGCCCAAAAAGCCAAAGCCTAGCTATATGGAGGACACGACTACATGAATACCGATTTTCCGACCGCTGGGTGTGGTGCACCAGGGATTATTGAAAGCCCTCACCTTTAGAAACGCCCTTGTCCTTTAAGAAACAATAGACAGAGCCCCCATACCTATATCCCTAAGTAGGAAATATTGAAGAAGGTCTACTAGCCGGTCTGTTTATTCTTTTGGGGGAACCATGAAAAAGGACAAGGCTGTTTAGAAACCCAGCAACTCTAGGGCCTGCAATTTCGTCAGGGCAACTCTATGACCGCATGTTGCTTGCAGCAGGAAGCAGGGCCTCAGCGTTCACGGAGACGAGTGCATTGCAGAATGGAGGGGCCTGAATAACTAGAATGTGGGTGGTTGTCAAAATTATGGCCCCTTTTTGGGTACCCTAAATATTAGGTGCCGTATTATAATAAGGACCCCAAAAAGGGACCCTAATTTTGACAACCACCCATGTGGTATTTTGGTGTATCTGACTGATACTATAGTTGCAAAAGGGACCCTAAGGATAAATATTGGCTATTCAGGGTTCTATTTTTGAGTATTGCCTCTGCCCGGGTTTGTCCCTGCACCTAAGTGCTTCGGTTTTTTGTAGTGCCGATAGCTAGGTGCTAAAATCTAAACCCCTAAACACAACCCGAAAATCCCACAGAGCTGGGTGCCCAGGCCGTGGATGTTCAGCCAGTCCACCTCCAAGATGGACTTCTGCCGGATGCTCTGCCATCCTAGGAATTCTCAGGATCAGGGCTTAGGGCCAGGAACCCTCTAAGCCCTGCCTATTGTCTCCATTGGAGTTCCTTTTTTGGAATTACCTGATAGGATCCTAATTGTATGTCTGGTTAAACCCAAAAAAAGAACTACAATGGAGACTACAGGTAAGCCCTAAGCCCCCGCGTACAGTATAGCAGTATCGCACAGGGACTATACGAGATGAGCTTACATTGCGAGTTATGCCGGTTTCCATATTGATCCCTCCTCCCCCAGCAGGCGCAACTGGAAATAACGTGGAGAACCTACGCTTGTCAAAGGTCCGACGGCTTGGGGCAAAGGAGGTTCAGGCTGTGGGTTCGATTAGAGTCAGAAAGGCTTCAAGGCTGAGAGCTTCGGAAAGTTGCAGCATGCCTTGGAATGAAGCATTTCCGTGGTGAGTGCGGCTCCCTCTCTTTCTCTCTTTCTACATTCTCTCTTTCTCTTTCTCTCTCTCTCTCTCTCTCTCTCGCGCTCTGTCTGTCTTGCTGACCCCGAACCCAAACCCTAACCCATAGACCCTAGACGCGCAGGACCTGAAACCGGAGGCCCTAAACCCCAGACTCTGAACCTACACCGAAAAGCAACGTGGAGAGCGGAACCCTGGGTGCCAAAGCTTGCCTGAAGCCCCGAATACGGGGGCCTTAAAGGCTTAATGTTCTGATGTCTTACGATGAGGACTTATGTGAGGCTTTATAGGGGCCTTCAGGGGACTAGATCCTGAGCCTCTAAAACTCTCACACCCTGACAGGAGCCCCGGAACAGACAGGGGCTCGGGACCAGACCTGTCGCCGAACCGCCCCAGTCGACCTCATCGCAAAGGCCATGGATTAGGGCTGATGAGGACAGGGGCTCAGGTTTAGGGATTTAGAGTTTGGGTTCAGGGTTTATAGAGTTGAAGGTTAAGGGTGTTAAGGTTTAGGGGCTTGGGGTAAGGAGGTTAGCAGGATCTCTGAACCTTAGCCTTAGACCCTTAAGGTCGGGGGTTCAGGAGGCTAGCATAGTGTTTGGGTCTTTGGGAATGGGGCAGAAGAAGGCATAAGCTTGCCGGTGCCTGCAATGAGGCCTGAATAGGGCTCCAAAAAACCACATAAGCAAAAATGAAAATAGGGATATCTCATATCAACCCCCTTTACAACGAAGCCAAACAAGGAAGGGGTATCCCCATGAAATGCAGATGCTTATGTTCTTTTTGGGTCCCTAACTGAATAGTACCACTAATTCGCTGTACCAGGTGCATCGCTGGTGCGGCATCAAGCAGTACGCAACAAAATTTCTTCAGAGCCCCAAACCCTAACACAAGTTGAAGGCAACACGTCAAGGATCCCTTGAGCGGTCAGTCACCCGAAGCCTATGTATACCCAGGTCCCCGGAGCCACCAAAAGATTCAACCACAAAAGCCACCAAAAAAAAAGCAAGTACCTGCGAAGAACTTCCCCTATGCCCCAAGACCTGCCCAAGCCGTGCGCTTGGAAGCGAGCCAGGAAAAGCAAGTATATTGAAGAGTTTCAGTTTAAGTTTAGACCAAAACCTCTACGATTTCTCCTAGAGAACCAGCTTGCAAACCCCAACGACCCGTATAAACGCTATGAAAACCCTCAGACAACGCTCAGAAAGCCGCTCAAAAACAGCAAACCCTAAACCCCTCCCGCTAATCCCGGTACCCTATGAAGCCTAAAAACAGCCAAAAATCAACCCCAAACCCTAAACCCCTAAACCCTAAACCCCAAAACCCTACAAGCCTAAAGAACCAAAGAAATCGCCTCCGGCAGCGCCTTCCGCGAAGAGGAGGCGGTCCGCTTGGGCCCCTGCGCTGGGACAGGGTTTACTTGAAGGCTCGTGGGACTTAGTATGTAAGGTTATAAGTAGGTTCTAATTAGGATAACCCCAGTTAGGGGACATATAACCCCAGTTATAACCTACTTACTAAGTCCATGATCCTCTAAGAAGGCTTAAGGGTAGAGGTTTAGGGCTTTTGGGAGGTTACAAGGCTTAAGAGCATTAGGGGTTCAGGCTGTTGGGGTTTTGGTTTAAGGGCAATTGGGGCTTAGGGTTTAGGGGTTACTTGGGTGTTCATGGGCAGTCTTAAGTGGGGCTTAGGGTTTAGGGGCTACTTGGGGGGTACAAGTCTCCCTAAAATGTGGTTGCAAACATAGTAAAGTTGCCCTACTCTTAACCCCATGCTATACTACCCCTGAACCTTAAAATAAGGCTCAAGGGCATTAGGTGTTCAGGGTCTAGGAACTCAAAGAAATACTTGTATCCGTATGGATTCCACAGACTTTGCAGCAGGTCTCTTACGGTTTAGTTTTTAAGGTTCTGGGGATCTGCCGTTCAAGGGTTTTGATCCTTTGGCTACTACAGGTCTTTTGGCTACGATACCAGAACAGCTCGCACTCTTGATGCACACCCCCATGGCCCAGGTGAATTTGGTTGCTTTTTCTAGAAGTCTGGAAGCTTTTGGCCTGGGGTTGAGGACTTTCGGGCCCTTGTACAGTTGACACCAAGTCTGTATCTGGGCTCTGGGGTTTTGAACTGCAGTCAGACATGCCAGTAGCCGCAATTGAAACGCGAACAAGCCGACCTAAATCCCTAAACACGCTGGCCCCATCGAGATTCTTAAGTCGATAAGTCGCCACTTCTAGCTTAAACCCTATACCAGGAACACCTACGAACACTACAATCAAAACCCTAGGCCCAAAAGCTCTGATGCCCCCAAACTGTGCCCCAAACCGTAAACCTCAAAAACCAGAACCCTATCCCTCCAAAAACCTCATAGTTAGGGCCCTAGACCCCTTAAGGACCCCATAATGAGGCCCCTGGAGGCATAGGCGAAATTTCAAACAGTTGTATCCTATTGCTTTCGAGGTCTCAGGACCTACGGTTTATACGATTCAAAGGTGAGGACAAGGGGGTTGGGGGTAGTCGCAGTATACCTGCATAGGGACTCCACGGGGGCATTCCGAAATACGAACCCCTAAAGCCCATAGAGCCGAAACCCTGAACTCTCAATGGGAGTTTCCGAAAATAGGGGACCCTAATACGGCACCCTAAAAAGTAGGATCCTTATAAAACGGACCCGAAACTAAGGTACCCTAATTTTCGGAAACTCCCAAATCCACGAGCAGATCCCTGTAGTACCAACGAACTAGAATCTAGAAGAGCCCCAAAAAATCAATTATCCCCCCCCTCCTCCGGTGCCTCCAGAGGCCCAGAGCGAGCCAGGGACTTGCTCATGCCCAGACCAACTGCCAGCATCACCTGGCATTGTAGAGTTTAGGCTTCCGGATTCCACGTTTAAAGTTCACGGTTTAGGGCTTTTAATGTGGGTTCCGCTTTTAGAGTTCACGGTTTCGGGCTTTTGATCTAAGGCTTAGGGCTGGGAGTTCGAAGATTCGGGTGTGCAACGAGCGTTCTGTTCGGAACAGCTTTCGCCTTATGCTTGCTGGGACAAAGGGTTTAAATCCTCAGAAATGGGACTTTAGGACTAGGACTTTTTTGGCTTAAGGTTTTATTAGGGGCTTAAGGGTTAAGGCTTCGAGGTCTCAGCAAGAGATTTGCTCATGATCAACAAGCATCACCTTTCCAAGGCTTGAAAGCAGGGTCTGACGTTCTCCCTCGCTGCGTCATCTGACGATACCAGTAGCAAAATCCGCACCAAGACAACGATGTTCGTGCACATGATCACATGGTTCCTATGCATCGGTTAGAAAACTTGCTTCTCTTTACTCAAAGTGTTGCACGTCTTCTGCGATCGAGGCCGTCATGATTGCACGAGCTTTCAGCCTTACAATTACTAGGTTGGCCCTTTAAAGCAACTGAAAAATATTCGTAAATAGGGTCCTACTAAGCCCAATAAGGGAAAATATAAAATGTCCCAAAGGCCTACCTAGATTAGAATGGGGCTTCGGAGAAACCAAAAAACAACATTCGGGAGCTGCAAGGAATACAGTAGAAGCCAGAAAGTTGGAATATTATTATCCTAAGCCCTTTATGGTAAATTAGAAGGTATCCTACCCTGAAACCATATTCCAACTTTCTGGAGTTCCCTTTAATGTTATAATCTGTTGAGTTTCATTCCGGCTTCTCTACTACAAGAGCCCTGTAGCCGACACGAGTCCCATAGATGCAATTCTCTCGAACTCACGAAAAGGTGATGGTGGAAATTCCTCGAACGCAGTCTGATGTGATTACCGAAAAGGCCGAGCCTAAACGCTGGTCGCTCAAATCCTCATTCTGGTTAACCCTAAACCCCTACTCCTCATTCTAGTTAACCCTATTGAACCCCTAAATCCTTAAAACAAACTAGAACAAACTTTAGACCACCCCAGCCCCCTGTGTCTCCCTTCTTGCCTGCGTGGCTACGAGGCTGGCTCGCTGGGTTGCTCGCGGATCTTCACAAGCCTCTTCTTTCTGAATATGTTGCCATGGTTATTTTGATTATTGGTATTGGTACTGCCGACTAATAATACTAGTATTGCTGTTATAACTTATAACTATTGTACTTGTTGTTGTTGCTGTTATTCTTAGTTCTGACTAAGCGATAACTTTCGATGATTCCTATGAATATGCTTGATGTTGGTATGGTTAGTTCATATGTTCAACAAATATGACTGTTACCATTACGCATGACTGCTTTTTAATTATTACCTATGATACTAAATGCTATTAGCTGCTAATCACGAGTTGCCATTAAGCCCGGCGCTGTACAGGACAGGGCATCTAAAGGGAGCTATTGTTTGCACAATCCTACTTTTTGTACGCGTATAACCACTATTGCTATCATGATCATCGGTGATTATCGTAAATATTACTATTACTACCAACCTTCTGGGGGGCTTATGTTCATTGTCAAGATTAGTGGTGGTACTTATTACTAATATTGTCTGACTAGGTCATGAGTTATCCTTACTACTCCAAAGGTTAGTAAGTATTATTCTTATTACTGACAATCATTACCACTATACCATTAGCATTGTGATTGTCATTAGCAGTGTATGGTCATTTTCATTGTTACCACCATGATAGCTGTTATTATTGCTGCTATTCTACTATCGCGTTGATTACGGTTGTTGTTAACATGTTTTGACTAGTATCTTCGGTTACGAATAATTAGTAACCTCAATACTGGCAATGTTGCTTTTATTGTTACTACTAGCCTCATACAGCGTACTTACAATATGCATTATGCGTGTGTGTATATATATATATATATATATATAAATATACACATACATACACATGCGCAAAAACGCAGTCACACACACACACACACACACACACACTTACTTGGGGGTTTGCGGGATAATAAGGCGAAGCTCCTGTTTCTGGTCCTCATGATGAGGAGGTCTGTGCGATGGGGATAACGATGCTGCTACTGGACTGCTGCTGTTGCGTACACAGAAATGGATGTTGGTCGGTTCTGATGGTGAGAACGGTGACTATCACCATCCTCGTCAGAATCACCATCACACCCACCACCGTACCTTCATGGCCATCATCATGGTCCAAATGGCAAAAAATTCACCATCAACATCAGCATCATCGTCATCTTCTTTTTCATAAACATCATCTTCATCTTCATCAACCATCATCATCATCAGCAGCATCAGCCTCAGCATCGTCATCTTCGTCGGCATCGTCGTCATCATTATCCGCATCCCCATCACGTGCTTCACTATAACCACCACTTCATGACAGTCAAACTGCCGGCTTCCGACCATCGCCGAAGCAGGACAAGAGCGTATATAGGTACAGGAACAAACGGTGCGGAAGTTTCTCGTCTACTGCCACAGCACTCCAACAAGAGGAAGAGCATGCAACCGTGCTGTAGGGACTTTTGGATCAAAAAGAGCGAAGCACTCGAGCCGTGCAGGACTCAGAGGTGTAGGGCAGTGTATTCGGTGGCAACTCTGACGGAAAAGAGTGGTGCTGGAGGGCTCTCATACCAAGAACCTCGGCCACAGTCTTCAAAAGTCAATGGCACTTCCCGTGTACAGGGCTGCTCCGGCGAGAGGCTGCAATCACATTACCCCAAGCCCTAAACCCTAGCATAGCACACTGAAAGGAACCCCTTCAACACAACTCGAAATCCTCAGCCCTAAGCTGAGGTCTCTGCTGTCGGCCGTGTCGCGACATGACTCGAACTGTAAGATGGTACTCGGTCCTTCCGAATCTTCAGAAATCATGGATAAAGCTTTCGATGGCTTAGGGCATGAGGGGCCTTCTTAATTGGGAATAGGGTTTCGGGGTATACCCTGCAGAATAACCTTACATCTTAAGTGCCCTTCGAACCGAAACGAAAATAGAATATGTTTGACACCTCTTGGAGTTTCATTATACTAGAACTACTGAACAAGGAACTCCCTAGAGCACTAAACATGTCAATAAAGCTTCAGTACTTCGCATTCCAGACTCAGGAGCTTCCTGCCGTGGTATGGGCACCAAACCTTCATTTCCAGCTTGGCATCTACGTACGATTAAGGATAATATAGGGGGCCTTAGCAATTTCAAGAGGGTTTGGCGGGATGTTCCACCATAGTCATAATGGACAATTAAATCATAGGGACTATTTCGAAATGTTCCGGGCCCTATAGGACAGCACAAGCCGTTTGTAGGAGCCTTTGATGATTAAAATGGGGTGCGCAAAGGTAGCAACACTGCAAAACCCAGGAACCCAAACCAAACGGCCCTCACAAGCCAAAGTACTAAACCCAAGAGCCCACACGAAAAAATCCTAAACCTAAAATCCGAAGCCCGAACAGCTCTGAGCCTTGTCATGGTTTGGCAGACCAGAACCATTGAGGCCACGACGCTGTGACTTCGTCAGCCACACGGAAACCTCTGCCAGAAGGGCACTTCTTTAATCGGCCAGACCTTGTCGACTTCCAGCTCCCGATACTCCCTGGCACGGAAACCCAGCTAAGATCCGTCCGCATTGGGAGCAGCTTGCCACTGAATGTCCTGACATCCTCCAAGCCGGGCCTTGTCAAGACCTCATCTTGCATCCGTGCATCCAGGACCTTTCTGATTTCTGCAGAAAGGATCGGCCTCGACGTAGACCCGTTCATCATCACCGTGGTGACCATCAACCATGTTGAGTTCAATGCTTCATGGTTGGGGCCGACGAGGCTTCCAAGAAGGGCCATGCATAGAACAGCAACAGCATCCGCCCATAAATCCGTACCAACATGGACTTCCCGTATGATCCTGTCGCCACCCTAGACCGCAAACCGTAAAACAAGAAACGCACAAACTCTCAGACCCTCCAAAACCTCCAGCCTACGGCTTAACGAATTCTAATTCTAAAGCCAGGGTTTAGGGATTATGGGCTAGGGTTTGGAGTTCGGGCTGAGAGCTTAACCCTAACACCTGAAGCCCTAAAACCCTAAAACCCTAAAACCACTAAAAAAAACCCTGCTAACCTTAAAACACAAAACCCCCCAAACCTTAGGTTTCGGGCTTTTCGCCCCGCGCAAAACTCGCTCTTTGAGCCCAAATCTCCTCCAAAGCTCCTCGGCTTGGCGCCTGGGCTTAGGGTTTTATTGCTTTTGGGGGTTTTTGGGGTCCCTTCAAGGGTCCCTACAAGGGTTCGCTGCAGGGTTCCTATAGGGTTGAGATGGGTTGAGGGTTTAGGGTCTGGGGGTGGGTTTGGCATTTAGAGATTAGGGCCTAGGGCTGTAGTCTTTTGCTTTCACGGTTCAGGGTTTAGGGGCTCGTAGGGCTTAAGGGCATTAGGGTTTAGGGTGGGGATTAATAAGGTTTAAGGACATTTGGAAATCAGGGTTTACGTGGAGGTTCGTGGGTAGTTATGATATAGGCAGGGTATGACCCTACTTAAAACTGAATACCCATGAACGTTCAAGGTTTAGTTTAGGGTTTGGCGTTGGTTCAAGGTTTACTGACCTTAGGGTTGAGGGTGTTTCGGGCTTAGGCTGTCGGGGGGCTATTGCCACCAATAACACAGATGCCTATACTCATCCGAAGTGTGATAAAACATCCCTCGAGCGCTTTACCTCATGAACCCAGACTGCCTCACATCACGCTTGTCATGTCGGCCAACCGATCGATACTCAAGAGAGGCACAGTCTAATGTGTTTTTCGTCTCTGCACAATACAGTACAGACGGCCCCCAGCTGGGACCACTGTAGCCAAACACGCTGACAAAGATGGGACGTTGCCATATCGGGAACAATCTCCCCAAATCCTCAAACCGTCGTTGGTGTCGGCTCTCCCGCAGTGAAACACAGGCCATGAGATGTGGTGCAGCAAGAGGCCTAAGCCCAAGCCTGGAACAGAAGGAAGGTAAGCCTTCCGATCCGGCAAGTTCATGTCATGTGGGAGTTTCCGATAATAGGGGACCCTGATCAAGTACCCGATTATAAGGACCCCAAAATAAGGTACGCCCAATTTTCGGAAACTCCCATGTAAAGCCTCCGTCAAGGTTGCACAATAAGTAGACTAAAAGTTCAGCATCATCCGACCTGGAGTGCTTGCAATCCTGTTTGCTCAACCTACTGACTGGATCTCCCTGCAAAAAACACGAACCCTCATACGTAAGCCTCAAATCGTAAGCCCCAAACCTGAAACGCCCAAAATTCCAATACATTGTCCTCAACCGAAGGTCCTGCTTCGTGAAGGTCTCTCCAGCTAGACTTTAAACTCTTAATCAAACCTGAACCCAAAACCGCCAACCATACCACCTGAATCCTAGAACCTCAATGGCTGCAACCCCTAATGTAGGGGCCTTAACAGCTAGAATAGGGGTTGGGGGTATATTATACTATAAGCATAATAAGGAACCCGCAAAATCTTACTCTAATGATTAAGGCGCCCACATTATTGCAATCCTTCCAAGCCCTGAAAGGCACCCTTAAACGAGGAATACCCTAAACCCTGACCCCTAACCCCTAAAACCTGACCCCTAAACCCCTAAACCCCTAAACCCCTAAACCCCCAAACCCCTATAAACCCTAACCCCCTAAACCCCTAAACCCCTGACCCCTAAACCCTGAAACCCCACCCTTTAAAGGAGGAACCCAACTGGTCCGCCCCATGGTCTGGGTCTCCCGGCTTTGACGAAAGAAAGAGCCCAGGAGCCTCCCCAGCGAGATGAGGGCTCCGGGTTTAGGGGTTTAGGATTTAGGGTTTTGAGGGTTTAGGATTTAGGATTTACGGTTTAGGGTTTAGGGGTTTAGGGTTCAGGGGTTTAGGGTTTAGGGGTTTAGGGGTTTAGGGGTTTAGGGGTTTAGGATTTACGGTCGGTTTAGGGGTTTAGGGGTTTAGGGTTTAGGGGTTTAGGGTTTACCGGCTTACCGGTCTTAATTATGAGCTTCATAGGGAGGGCTTTGATAGGTTTGGTAAGTTTTCATAGGTTTGGTAAATTTAGGGATTATAAGGCTAAACAATGGGAAGGGTTGTAATGGTTTTTACGGGAGTTTAGGGGTGTTGGATTTTACACGGTCGGTTGAAGGGCTCCATAAACGAATTTGAGGTCTTGGGGATTTAAGGCTTAAGCTCCTGGGGCTTTCGGGACTAGTGACTAGTGATTAGGTTATAGTATCCTTAAGGGAGGGGGCTCCAAGGGGGGGTGCATAGCCTAGTGACCCCTAACTCTCCCTAGTACTCCCTAAGGTTCCCCTAAGGATTCCTTGTACCCTCCCCCCTTGAACCACCCCTCCCTTAAGGATCCTATAATTAGGGGTGCGCAAATCGTCGGCGCTTGGCGTGGTTTGGCGATTCGGACTTCGGGCTCGGGATCAAGAACTCGAGGCTCCAAACTGAAGCCCCACACTCCGAGCTTTGCCACTAAAGCTCGGCAGGTATAAGCCCCTGAGAAGATCCTGAACTTTTGCGTGAATATAGTCCTTCTCTTTACAAGCCTTGATAAAACCGTCCTGCGACCTATACAAACCGTTATAGAAAGCCCCTCTCAGACATCCTTAGAGAACCCCACCCCCCCTCCCTCTTGTTTCGACCGCTCCATCCAGCGCACTTTGGCTGGTCTGTGCAAGCTCTGCAGCGGTACCCCCCAGTGGGGGGCATTGCCACAACCAGTCCCGGTATCTCTTAGATTCCTCGTTGATGTACGGACCCTTTAAACCGATAATTATGATTTCAGGCCCTAACCCATGACTGTGATTTAAGGTCCTGAACCTTTCTCCCCTAATTTTCGGAAACTCCCAACTCTCTGCAATGCTACGTTGCGCCGACTTTCCGACCCCCTGAAGCTGCGAGTAGCCTGTTGCCAGTTCCGTCGGGGTTGTGCCTCAATAGGACACCAACAAAGCACATAAGCAAAAATTAGGATAGGGATATCCCACAGAACAAACCTTATAATGAAGCCCAATAAGGTAGGGAAACACCCCATACAAATGCTTATGCTTATGTGCTTTTGGGTCCCTAACTCAAGGTCCTAAAAAACCTTAACCACACGCCCCCAAATCAAGGTCTTCCGGCTGCCACGAGGTCACCGTCTATGCGCCTACTCACTCCTTAACAGCATAGCTAAACCGGCTAAATTTTGAAACTGCGGGAGTTTCACGCCACATAGCAGGCGAGGGGGGTCCTGGTTGAAAGAACCCACGCATGTGTAACTTGTGTAAGATAGCCGGAGCCGTGTAGCTTAGTCTCCTACGCCGAAGGGGCGCTTGGCTGCAAGCCCGCCATGGAAAAAAGTTGAGGATTATGAGTGGCTCCAACTACCCAGTATCTCAAGGGTTAAACAGGCAAGCTTCGTAACGTAGCCCAGTTATAGTTATAGGCCAACAACCATACATCTTTCTTTCCCAGCCGGAGTTGAAAAGCCCAAAAGGCCAATGTTTGCAAATTCAGCTACAAAGTAAGTGGTGATAACCCACTGTTCTGCAAGGTTTGGGGCTCAGGGTACGCTTCGGCTTGAGATGCTAGGCTTTCGGGGCTCTTGCGGCTAGGCTTTGGAGTTGTGGTATATAGGATCCAGTGATTCCTGCCGGAGTTTACAGCAAAGCGACGTCTCTGAAATACGTCGAAACTCTGCTACCTATAGACACCCTAGGCCCTAAAGCCTAAACCCTTCAACCCCTAAAGGGAACTCCAGAAAGTTGGAATATGGTTTCATGGTAGGATACCCTATAATTTACCATAGAAGGTTAAGATAATCATATTCCAACTTTCTGGCTTTTACCCTAGACCCTTTGAGCTGATATCTGCTTTTAACTTGCCACTTCCTTTCAGCGGGTGGGTCTCAAAGTGTGGTGGCTTGCAGCCGAGTCTTTGTACAACGCAGTGCTGGGTTTCGGGGTTTAGGGACTTTACTTGGAGGTTCATGGGAAGTTGCAATAGGGGTTGCAAGTAGTATAACTGTAGTTCTATCCTATAATTAGCATGGGACTTACAACCCTAGTTATAACTGCCCATGAGCCTCCAAGCAGAGTTTAGGGCCGAAAGTCAAGCATCACTCTCTTCGGCATCCTCCTCCTGCAACAAGACCTCGTCCGAGCTTGTTTGACAACAACTTGTCTCTGTTTTTCATGATACTCGGATACTCTTCTGAAACAGTCGGCAATTCTGGGTTCGTCTAATATCTGAAAAAATCGGATGCTGCGGCAAATGAGCCGCAGGTATTGTCGTTGTAGGCTCCATCCAACCCCCTCTAAGGGTATCTGGTCTGGTGTTGGGCTCTAACTCCTTCTTACGGAAGAAAGCTTTCGGTCAATGTTGTACCCCCTATTTACACGGGCAATTGTTACAAATTCGTCCGACCCCTAATAGCACCCAAACCTTGGAAACCACGAACAGCCCCAAGCTCCGATCCAAGGATTGTCTCCACCACAAAAGTAAAGGCCTAAGTATTTTTGTACTGGGTAACTTTATAGGGAACCTAGGACTACAAAAAGGGAATAAGGGTACTACTGGGCATCCTAGAATTGGAGTAGGTTTCCTTTAGGGGTCTCTTGAAGTGCTACGTACCAGAAGGGTTCCTATCGGGATTTAGTACAGGGGCCTTGGGGTATTGGGGTATGTTCTGTTAAGAGTATAAACATAACAAGGACGACCAAGGAATAGGTACCACTAAATGTGCAGACCCCTACATCACCTTGGGCTTAGGCTCATTGGTGTTTAGAACTTCGCCTAGTGCTTGAAAGAACCCGAGACGAGGAAAGTAGGCCAGAAGTATGACAACCAAAACTAGGACACTCATAACCCTAAACCCTAAACCGGACACTCATTGTTTGTAGGCTGCGGGCTTCTGTGTCGCTTAGGGCTACGGGGATTGCAGGGGAAGTCCAACCTCGAGGCCGATTTTTGGCGCACAAAGAAACGCGGGAAGCCTGAAAGCAGAAACCCAGAAACCCAACCGCAAGCCTCTCACCTGCTTGGAGGATCATGGGACTCTTAGTTAGGTTCCTATAAGGGCTCCTTAAAGGGATCTATAGGGTTCCTTAAAAGGATCTATAGGGTTTAGGGATTAGGGCCTACTTGGAGGATCAGGGGACTTAGTAAGTATGGTTATAAGTACCTTAATTGGGGTTATAAGCATAGTTACCTTAATAATAACCGTAACTACTAAGCCCCATGATCCTTTAAGTAGTGGCTGAGCCCTACATCCTAAACCAGACCCAACACTGAACCTTCAAAGTCGCAGAACTAAACCCTAAACCCTAAACCGGTTTAGGGTTTAGGGCTTTCCGTTTCCCTGGTTAAACACGGCTCAAACCCTGGTGAAATCCTTCTACAAGCTCAACTTCAAACCCGTATATCCCAAACCCCAGACACACATGAATTAACCCTTAAATCCCAACCCTAAAGCCCGAACTCGAAGAAGTCATCTCAAAACCCTTACCCTCGACGCAATCCTTAAAAACCTAAGCCATAAACCCTAAACTTTAAGCCCGAAAAAATTAATCCCGAAACCCTAAATCCTAGGCTCTAAACTCCAGATTCTCTGAAACTTAAAGTACGATTCTAACTGTCACGGCCCCTATTATATGTAGAATATACCCCAAAACCCTATTCGAATCACTAAGGCCCCCTATGTCAAGCCTCCAGGGTCGGCAAAGTTGGGGCCACGAGCGCATCAGCAGACGGCCAGCCAGCCTCCAGGACTTAACAGGATCTGCAATTTAAGGTTTAGGGTTTAGGGTTTAGGGTTTAGGGTTTAAGGTTTAGGGTTTAGGGTTTAGGATAATTTGCTTTGTTAGGTCTTGGGGGGTTTAGGGTCTAGGGTGTATGATTAAGCTTTCCGGAGATAGGGTTCAGGGCTTTGGGTTTAGAGTCTATTTTGTGGAATTCAAAAGCTAAGGCTCTAGGCCTTTATGCGTCAGGGAAGGGCTTTTCTGTTTTTGAAGCCTTCGGGTCTAGGCAAGGGCTCTAGGGACTTAGTAAGTAAGGTTATAAGTAGGTTATAATTAGGATAACCCCACTTAGGGGACTTATAACTCCAATTATAACCTACGTACTAAGTCCCATGATCCTCTAAGTAGGCAAGGGCTCTGGGGCTTCATGGTTGCGCATGGAGTTTTTCTGTTATTATCCATGCTTTGAGTGTTTACAGTGCATTGGTAAGGTGTGTACATTTTCTGACATGAAATAAAGGATTTGCTGGCTTTTATTGGACATGCATACAGAATGCTCAGAACAAGGGCCTCAACCAAAAGAACCGCGGGAGGAATAGTATTACCGAGCAGTCAATCCCTTTTCTTCGGGCTTTCCGGTTTAGAGTTTGGGGCTTAGGAGCATGCTACAACGGAAATCAGGGCTTGGGCTGTGGGGCTGCAATAATCAGGGACATTACAGGCGTTAAGGATCAAGCTGAAAGACAACCCTAACCCTAAGGATCCAAGTACCTTATTATCATATACTCTCCAAAATCCTAATCTACATAACTACTATCCTAAAGCCGAGTACCTAATTATTGGGTCCTCTGGACCCTTGGGGTAACTAATGTGAGAACGACAGTTCGGACTCTCCGGTGCACCGGGTCCCACGCAGTGGGATATTGTCAGCCAGGGTTTAGGGTTTGGGGTTTGGGGTTTAGGGTTTAGGGTTTAGGGAGGAGTCGCAATGGTCTGGCATGCACGGTTGAAGAAGGGCGACTTTTCCGACGTCTACCCCAAACT